CAAGGGCAAACACAAGGGGATTGGACTTTGAGCACATGATAAAAGCGAGAGCACACAAGGGAGGGGTGAGGATAGGTAAGACACCTAAAAAATTAGCTAGCATTTGTTGCCCTTAACGCAGAGAAACTAAAGCAGATACCTTAAAAGCAACTGAGGCCAATAGGAAAAGGGGACCAAGAACTAGAGAAAAGGTGAGATCAAAAAGAATTAACCTAGAAGGTAACACACATGCACAGGAAATTAATGTGAGTCAACTCCCTGTATAGCTATCCTTATCTCAACCAGCAAAAACCCTTGTTCCTTCCTATTATTGCTTATACTCTCTCTTCCACAAAATTAGAAATAAGGGCAAAATAGTTTCTGCCGGGTAGCGAGGGGGTGGGGGGGAGAAGGAGGGAAGGGGGAAGGGGGGAGAAATGACCCAAACATTGTATGCACATGTGAATAAAAAAAAAAAACTGAAAAGAGAAAACATACCACCCCCACACATACCACAAAACAACAACATCAAAAAAAGACAGAACAGGACTCAGGTTATAGCTCAGTGGTAGAGCCCTTGCCTAGCATATGCAAGGCCCTAAATTCAATCCCCAGTGCCACAAAAAAAAAAAAAAAAGACAGAACATTATGGTATAATATACTGAGCAAAGTTAGCCCTGAACATAAAAAGCGTGCACACTATTTACAACACAAGTTCTCTTTGGATGTCAGTAGCCTCTCCACCCACTCTTAAAAGAATGCTGTGGACAGACACTTGGGGGCAGAAGAATGAGAACTGGCTCCTCTCAGCTGACGAGCTGGACCCACTGGAAAATGTCTTGCTATGGGTGTGAACACCTGTGACCAGTCAGGCTGGGCATCCAATTCTGCCTCCAAGAGACACTGTCCTGTGGTCTTATCCCCGAAATGCTGCATGTGGAACCCTGGCTCCTGCCTTTGGGTCATACTTCCTCTCCATTCAACACCTTCACTGAACTGCTGGGAAGGTGACAGCAGCTGACAGGAAGCAGCTGTTTGCTTGGAAGACAACACCAATGTCTTCCAGGTTTAGCCACCGCAGATGATGTGATATTAAAGTGACTCCTGAAGGAAACAAAAATTTGAGTCCTAAAGAAATAGCTAAGGTTGCCAGAAAAGGCATTTTGGGAGCAGGGAGAAAAACACTGGGCAGAATTCACAAAGTTACCAATCCTGCAGGCCACATGACCCAGTGTGCAGAGGAGCTGCTGGCCCAGGAGGGTCCACTAGAGCCACGTGAGCAGACACAGGTGTATGGGGACCACTGTGGACAGAAGGGCTCCACAACACCTCCAGGCATGACAAGGAAAAGAAAGCAGTAGCCTGGCCAAGCCCACTCTGCAGCCTGTGTCTGTGTAAGAGATCATGAACCAGCTGCTAGACTTCCCAGGAAGGCCTTACTGACCAACACAGGAAAAGCAGGCATTTTTTACCTTGGCAAAATGACAACTAAGAAACCCACCGAGGGGCCCTGGAATAGCACGGCAGCTCCTAGGCATCATAATGTCGTCCTCATACAGCTCAAGCCTATGGCCAGAGACAGGAACCTGGAGGCACCTCTTCCGCCTAGCACACTGGGCCTCCTTTAAGTGGACCATTCAGGTATTTGCCTGTGACTCAAAGTGACTTACACCCTATTCTCCCATGTAAACTGTTAATTGCATCTCTCTCTCTCTCTCTCGCTCGCTCGCTCGCTCTCTCTGCCTGATTCTTCATTCCTGCTGTGTTACTTGGGGACGGAGGACTGTCCTTCCAACTCACTGGGCATCCAGTGCTCAGGATAGAGTAACAATCTTTAAACGTGTGTGTGTGTGTGTGGGTGCTTGCTAGGCAAACACTCTACCACTAAGCCACACAGCCTGAACTCATTTTCCATAGTGGTGGACTACTGAATTTGCACCTTCCATCAGAGGACTGGGACCACCTAGAGCCAGGTGTGGACGTGGGTCAGACAAGCCCCTTGGACTCTAGTGCTCAACTAGAGTAGGCCCACTGCTGTTCCAAGCTCAGCTGAGTGACAGAGTCCTGGGCCACCAGCTTTGCACATGACATCTGCCATGCCTCAGAGGCTGTGAGTTTGTCTGGAGGGTGGGACCCAGCCTGCCTTATCCACCCAACAGGGTTCATGGCCAATATGTGATAAGAAGCAAGGACCACAAGGGGATTGGACTATGAGCACATGATAAAAGCGAGAGCACACAAGGGAGGGGTGAGGATAGGTAAGACACCTAAAAAACTAGCTAGCATTTGTTGCCCTTAACGCAGAGAAACTAAAGCAGATACCTTAAAGCAACTGAGGCCAATAGGAAAAGGGAACCAGGAACTAGAGAAAAGGTTAGATCAAAAAGAATTAACCTAGAAGGTAACACCCACGCACAGGAAATCAATGTGAGTCAATGCCCTGTATAGCTATCCTTATCTCAACCAGCAAAACCCCTTGTTCCTTCCTATTATTGCTTATACTCTCTCTACAACAAAATTAGAGATAAGGGCAAAATAGTTTCTGCTGGGTATTGGGGGGGGAGCGGGAGGGGGTGGAGTGGGTGGTAAGGGAGGGGGTGGGGGCAGGGGGGAGAAATGAACCAAGCCTTGTATGCACATATGAATAATAAAAGAAAAATGAAAAAATAAATAAATAAATAAATAAAAAAAAAAAAAAAAAAAGAAGCAAGGACCACACAGGGGCTGTCACTGCCGGACACTGTTGCTGCACACCAAGAATCAGCCACAAGACACTCCTGGGTCACTGCTCAGGGAACAGCTCAGACTGGACTTCCTGTCTGCTGTCTATGCTCTCCCCTGCTTGTGCCCTTAAGAAGTGAGGGGGAGGAATGGGGGTACAATTGAGTAGTATAGCACTGGCCTCACACATGTGAGACCCTGGGTTCCACTCTCAGCACTGCAAAAGAAAAAAGGTGAGGGGGACAGAACAGGGACTTGGATCTATGCCCTTCTCAACACTACCTCTTTATTTCCTTATTTTCTCCAGGCAAAACTCTGGCAGCTTAGGAGATGCAGTTCTCCCAGGAAATTCTGGAAGAAACTGGGTGTGGTTTGCATGCCTGAAGATCATGAGTTTGAGGTAGCCAAGACAAAGGTAGCAGGACCTTGTTTCAAAAAAAAAGAGGAGGGGGGAGGCTGGTGGAGTGGCTTAAGTGATACAGCACCTGCCTAGCAAGCATGAAGTTCTGAGTTCAAACTAGTACTGCCAAAAATTCTGGAAGAGAGCATTTCTGCATTTAGCAAACCTTGGGCTGCCTCATAGTACCTCATCCCTTTGGCTCCCCATTTTTGTGACTATGATGATAACATCAAAGAAGACAGGAAATATTCATAGGAGTGGGGTGGGGCGGTCCAGCCTCAACCCCCTTGGAAGGTAAATTGAGCCTTGTCCCGATTCCACACTCAAGGTTGCAGGGCCCAGAACCCAGGTTTCAGTGTGGGCAACACCAATGGGGAAACACTTGGGACAAGGAAGGGGATCCCTTGGGGCAGGCTGAGAAGAGGACGAGCAGGGTGTGTGTGCTGTTGGCACCTCAGCAGGGTCTCTCTCCTTGAGGGAACCTAGCACCACTTGCTGAAGGGGTCTGGGCCTGTGGCTAAAGGGTCATGCCTCTGTTTTAGCGAGCCAGGTCAGACTTCTCACTAGATCCAGAACAAGTCTGCTTCTGAGGATCAAGTCAACTTTTGTAGGTGGCCCAGCAATTCCATCTCCAGGGACCCCATCATAGGTCTCTGCCACTCAGACTCTTCTGCCAGCAGCTCTAAATCCACAGCCTGTTGCAGAACTAACTCCATCTCGTCCGTGGCAATTCAGTGTCACCACTTGGCCTACGTCATTGCAGATCAGTGAGCTGCACCGCTTTCAGAGATCCCAGGCCAGACGAGATGGCAGTTCCCATGGTAACTGTTTTGCTTTTTGTTTTGTGGTGCGAGGGATGGAGCCTCACACATGTTAGTCAAATGATCTGCTCCAGAGCCCCACCCTCAGCCTCCACGGTAACTTCTGACCTATACAGGAGAACAATCACAGAGCTCACAGAGCTGTTTTTTTTTTTTCATTTTGTTTTGTTTTTTTGTGGTACTGGGGTTTGAACTCAGGGTCTACATCTTGAGTCACTCCACCAGCATGGTGGTGACTTCTACATGAGATTTTTTGATAGGGTCTTGCAAACTATTTGCCCACTCTGGCTTCGAACCGTGATCCTCCTGATCTCGGCCTCCTAAGTAGCTAGATTACAGGCGTGAGCCACCGGTGCCGGGCCTCACAGAGCTCTTTGAGGAGGCTGGGCTCCCCCAGCAACTCCACCCTGCATAGGGGTGAAAGGCATGTGTTCTGGATCCTAGGTAGTGGGAGAGCAGGCCTCACACGACAAATCCCCTCCTACATTGCTGCCCCGGCCACTGTACCCCTTCTTCTTCTGGACCCCAAGGCAGTAGAGCATTTCAGCTTCCCATGTGGCCACCTTTGGGGGATCTGTTTTAGCCACCTTGCCACCAACCCAACTGTCAGAGCCTTTTCTAGCCCTTGGAGCTCCAACACGGAGCCCAGGCCCTCTGCTCTGTAGCCCTGTTTCAATTAATAACCTGACCCATTTCACACACCAGCCACATGGCCCCCACCCCATTCCTGTTCTCACATGTGCTCCCCAGATTTCTGTGGGTATAAGCTGGAGGCATCAGGCCATCCTGGTGCAGTGCGGAGCACTCAGCACAGACACACTCTGCCCCACTTCTGCCTGCCCATGGAGTCCGGTTATAGACTTGGAGGCCCGGGGGATGAGGGGTCCTGAGGTCAGCAGTGCCTCGTAGGGCAGCACTGGGGAGCACTCCAGCTCTACCAATAGAGGGGATTTTCTGTTAAAAATGGAAGAACAGAGGTCTGAGGTCCCCCTTCTCAGGGATCTGTCCATAGGCTGCCCCCCACTTTCAGGGTCCCACTGCTTCCCAATCCATACCCACTCACCAGGCCACCAGGTGTAGAAGGGAACTCTGGATGTTCACAACTAGTTTTCATGGTGTTGCTGCTTCATGTGCCACACAGCTGTGCTTGTGCCCCCAGCTACCACAGAGGGTCCACATCCTCCCGCCAGGCTCGCCTGGAGATGGGCCTGCCCCCTTTCACCTTGTCCTGTCTGGGGCGGGCACCCCCTTCCCTAATCCTGTGTCTGGTCTCATTCTGTGCACCACAAGCTTCTGCCCTGACCACTCTGGCCACTCCTTATAAGTCCCTTTTCTGCCTCGCTCTTTAGGGGGGATCAGTGACATCCTTTTCCCAATCTTGGTTTCAGTCTGGGCATCAGGAGTTCCTGATATTTTCTGGAGTAAGGAGCCATGGGGACATCAGCAGGAGACCACAGTTGGCAAGTGGGGCCCTGCCCTGGACACCTGCACTCAGTCACCCCCACTCAATAGCAAGGCTGAGGATGGGGCCCATCCAGGAGAATCTGAGGATTTTGACACTAAGCAGGGGGTCAGGGACGTCCCTTGGAGACTTCCCACCTTGAGCCTGCAGGTTTGCAATGGAAGTTTATTGTAAAATACCCAGAGGTTGGCAACAGTGCTAGACCCAAGCTATGCCTCTCTCCAGGCCACAGGTGCCAGGTGTCTGGCTGGTCACCAAAGTCACCGTCTTATGGATGACGCAGTTCATAAAACTGAGTAGTAAACATTATGAAGAAAGTGAGGACTCCATGATCCTTGGGCCACATCTTACTGTCCTCAGGGTCTCTGGAGGGTCAGTTTTCCCATGACTGGGTCAGGCTGTAATGAAATGCCCATCTCCTGTCTTCTGTCTCCCGAAAAGGGAGTGGCTGTCGCATGGGTAGAGAGACCACACACTAATGCGCTGGTCCTTGGACCCTGCAGCCAACAAGCCATTGGTGGCAAAGGCCACACAGTGGATGGAGGCACTGTGGAAGGCCAGCACAGCCAGAGGCTTCATTGTCCGCCAGTGAAATACCCGGATGCGGTGGTCCCAGCCTGCAGTGGCTAGGATCTTTTGGTCTGGCCGGATTGTGACATCAGCGATCCCAGGATTGGTGAGTTCATGAGTGCTGCACACCTGCAAGGGGGAGGGCGGCAGGGAGAAGCATTAGTCTGCTGTAGAGCCTATGGCTGAGGTGCTCAACCACGGGTGACCCCCCCCCTCCCCAAGCAGTTGGAACCGTGAGAGAGCTGCAGGCTCTGTGACAGCCACAGTCCCATCCAGCTGGCTGCCTCCTCCTCTTCTTCCTCCTCTTCAGGAACTCACGGCTGACTACTTGAGCATGATGGAGGACATTAGCCCTCCCTCAGTGTGGTCTGAGACTCTGCCAAGCTGCTCTCCTGGGCCTGCGCTGGTGACTCCAGCCCTTGCTCAGGGCCAACAGACAGGGAAGCAGCCTTTGGGGCAGAGCTCGGGCTGGGTCCTGGGACTCCCGAGCATGGGGAACACTCTAGCATCGAGAGAGAGGCTGATGGTAAAGTTGACATTGCTCTTGGAGGAACCTCCCCCAAAGCTCAGGCAGAGTGACAAATGCAAATTCTGTCTTCAGCCACACTAAGAGGGAAGTGAAACCCTGGAAGGTGAAAGGGCTTGGAGAGCTGTCAGAAGCGGGAACCAGCAGGGAATGGACAGGGTGCTGTGGTCTCCCTCAAAAGTTCACACACTGGAAATGTGATCCTCAAATTTGTATGTCAATAGTATTTAGGATCTGATGAAGCCAAACGCCCCCATGATGGCATTAGTGGCTTTATAAGAAAAGAAAGAGACCTGAGCCACCATGCTTTCTTTTCTTCTCCATGGGACACCCTCTGCCATGTTAGGATGCAGCAAAAAGACCCTCACCAGATGTCAGCACCATTTTCCTGGACTTCCAGTCTCCAAATAACCTTCTATTCTTTATAAATCACCCAGTCTCTGGTATTTTGTTATACAGAAGATGGAGAAAAAACAGGACAAGGGAAAGAGAACATGGTGGCAGGAGTAGCTGCATGGTAGTGTCCCTCTATGGGTAAGACCCAGTCGCTGGCCTGCGTCCGAGAAGAGATTGCGCAGGCTTGTTCTATCAGCAAGGAGCTGGCCTGTCTCTGGGGGTCACTGCCCCTACACTCAGTTCTGGGTGAGCAGGAAGCCTGCCGTGGCCCCTCCCTACATATGTGTGCTTCCTGTGGTTGGGCAGGGCCTCTCCTAGGGAGTCAGAGCTGCCTTCACTGTCACAGCATCTTTTGGCTTGGGTATGTTTAAGTGTGCTTCCCCCAAAGTTTCATGTGCTGGGGGCTTGGTCCTCAGTGTGGCAATGACAGGGTAGAACCTTTCGAGGTGAGGGTGTGCCTTTGAGAGCTACTGTGGGAGCCCAGCCTGTCTGCTTCCGGTCTGGAGACATACTCTATACATAGTCCTGCCATGAGATCCCATCCACCAGTGGACCCTTAGCAGAGGCCAAATCAATGGGCCCACTCAATCTTGGACTTTGAACCTTCAGAAATTTGATCTAAATAAACTACTTTCTTTATAAAGTTAGCCTACCTCAGGTATCTTGGTATAGTAATGAAAAACTGACTAATACACAGCATTCTTGGTTTTATGCAACTGTCTTATACATTGTGGGGCATTTGCCATCTCTGTTCTCACACTAAATGGCAAGCCATTTTCCCAACTTTGTGCCCAGCAGTGGCATTCCCTCCACCTTTTGATGCTGTGTGTGCTCTGACTCCTTTTTCTTAAAAGCCTCCTAATAGAGCCATACCACCTTTGATTGACAATTTCTCAGCTCTACAAAGATAACACCAGGAAAAAGAAGGAAAGAAATAGAAAAATCTAAATGGTAACTTTCATCAGAAGTCAGTGGAAATGGTCAGGAAACAATTTAGCCATAAGTTAATAAAACAAAACTTAACAAATTGTTACCTCTACAAAGTATCTCTATAAAACAAGAACCCAAAGAAGCAAAACACTGAAGAGATTGAACCTAAAAGAGCTCAGGAAAGATGTGGAAGAAAAACTCAAAGAAACAAAGAGAAGGAAAAAGCAGGAGACCCTGCACAAGACAAAAAGAGATGTGGAGAGTGGAAAGGATGAAAAGTGAGCCAACTAAGAGGGAAACAGTTAAAATGGACAGGACAAGGGCTGGCAGAGTGGGTCAAGTGGTAGAACGCCTGCTTAGTTAATGAAAGGCTCTGAGTTCAAACCCCAGTACCTCCCAAAAAATGGACAGGAGAAGATGTGGGAGGGGTAATGAGACAGGTGGAATGTTGGGAATCACTGACTTAGAAAAACAATATTAATTTCTTGAAGTTGAAGTCTTAGGATCTAAGTCCAAAGAAAGGCTACAGAATTGCTGATATTGAGGTATACTCTAATAAAATGATTAAACCTGATAAAATCCTTTTGGTAGCCAGGTTAAAAGATTGCATCAAGGCCAGGCATGGTGACTCACATGTATAAAACTAGCTATCCAGTAAGCAGAGCTCAAGAGGACTGTGGTTCCAGGCCAGCCAGTGCAAAGTTAATGAGACCCCATCTCGGCCAGAAGGTTGGGTGTGGTAGTGTGCACCGCTGATCCCAGCTGCTGGGAGTCATAAGTAGGAGAACTGCAGTAGGAGGCTGGACCCAACAGAACCTCAAGACCCTACTCGAAAAAGAACTAAAAAGCAAAAAAGGACCACGGGCATGGCTCAAGTGGTAAAAAAGCCTGCCTAGCAAGCACGAGGCCCTGAGTTCAAAACCCAGTACCACAAAACAAACAAACAAACAAACAAAACCCCAAAACTCTGATTATGAGGGTAAAGTGCAGGCTGTCCTGAGAGGGTCCCATGGCACGTATGTGCCAGCAGGCAGTGGAGTGATGCTTACACGGGCTGCAAGAATTTTATATCCAGCCAAACTGTCACTCAATTGGAAAAACAATAGGCAGACATTTTTGAACATGTAAGAACTCAAAGAATATTGCTCCCATAAGCTCTTCTGGAAGAACAAGAAGATTAACTCCAGTCTTGTAAGAAGAGATAACTGGAGAACTACAGCAAATGGTCTGGCAGACAGCACCGAAAGCTACTTACCTGCAGGATTAGGACTAAACAGACAGGATTATGGTTATAAAACCGGTTATGTAACTAACAGACATATGGGAGGGGGAAGAGAAAGAAGGGATGTTGGTTAAGTTCGTTTGACTTGCTCATCCTTTGTCATTTGGTGCTAAAGATACAATGTCAACCTCACATGTGAGAGATCATCTGACACCCTGCCATAAATAATGACAAACAAGCATCATTTCCTTCCCTCTCCCACCTGACATGGTAGCTTAGTCCCCTAGTATTTGCTCTGTATTAAAAGTATAAATATAGTCAACAGTTTTGTGACTCAATTCCAAAGGTAAATCCAGTTCTGTACTATGGATAAGGACTCCAAAGGGACATTTGGCAGATAAAGCAAGAGAACGTGAGTGAGAGAAACAGGCCCATCTCAGTAACAGGAAAAACCGAATTCTGAGCCCGATGCACCAAGCTCATACACCACACTTAACCATGATAAAGACTACGACTCATAACTGAGATCTGTCACTGTCTGTTCGCTCATCCTTCATAAGGTGACAATGAGAGCAAAGTGGCTATGGCACAGTAACTGGTACCAGACTAGCCATCTTGCTGGAAACAACCAAAAAAGTGAACAAAATACACAGGTAACTGTTTATAGACCCTGGGTAACAGATGGAGGAGGTGCCCATGTCTCTTCCTGGGGCCACGAAGTGCAGGCAGAACATTGTGGTCATCATGTTAAGCTGAGGAGGAGGCCAGAGGGCTGAAATCTGTGGGATAAGATGGTAAGATGGAGAGAGCTGGGATATTTGGGGGGCTGAAGACTATGTGTGGGTTCCCCAAGGGTCCTGATTCAAGGGCTGGGCTGGTCAGGCTCAAAGCAAACTACGCAGGCTTACCTGAGAGTGGCTGCCACAGGACTGAACGAACAGGTGTGAGAGGTCAACCACGATAAGCTAAGACCAGCTAAAATGCCAGGACAGCCTCACTTTAGGAATGAGGATCCCACGCTGGAGTAAGGCCTACTCTAGAAACACGGTAACAAGCTAGAAATCAAGCCCTGGCAAAATCTAAAGGAGAGGCAGAATCTGAGAGTTTAGTTCTGCCACACGAAAGGAGCCTGGGAATGACTGTTCCACAAACCTGCCCTGACAAAGCACAAAGCCAAGCCTACACAAGTTCAAGGTGAACGGCCAGTAAGTGAATAGCCTGCTAGAGAAAAAAGTAAACACTGTTTAGAACAAAAAGAACAGAATCCAGAGTCTCCATCAGGTATCACTTGCAATGTCCAGCATACAAACAAGAATTTCCTAGACATGCAAAGAAGCAGGAATTTATGACCCACTGGCAAGGGGTTAACAGAAACTGACCCCTAAAATGGCATCAATGTTGAACACATCAGATAAAGACTTGAAAGAAGGGGAGGGAGAAGAAGGAGTAACAGAGGCGGGGAATTTGACCCAAGTATGTTATATCACGTATGGAAATAGTGCAATGAAACCCTTCTGTACAATTAGTATTAACATGGGCTGGTGGAGTGGCTCAAGTGTTAGAGCACTTGCCTAGCAAGCACAAAGCCCTGAGTTCAAACATCAGCACTGCCAAAATAAACAAACAAATAAAAAATAAACAATTAATATATACTAACAACAACAACAAAAAGACCTGAAAGAAGCTATTTCAATGTTTTTGTTTAAAAATCAAAGGAAAAGCCAGATGTTGGCGGCTCACGCCTGTAATCCCAGCTACTTAGGAGGCAGAGATCAGGAGGATCATGGTTCGAAGTCAGCCCAGGCAAATAGTTCTTGAGACCCTATCTCAAAAAAACAAACAAACAAACAAAAAACCTTCACAATAAAGGGCTGGTGGAGTGGCTCAAGGTATAGGACCTGAGTTCAAGCCCCAGTACAGAAGGAAAGAAGGAAGGAAGGGAGGGAGGGAGAAAGGAAGGAAGGAAAAAAAGAAAATGAAAACAAAAGCAAAGGAAAATTCAAATAGTTACTAAGAAATTTATATGGATGAGTGAGTGGATGGGAACTATTAACA